TGCAAGTCGCGCCGCTTTGATGTGGCGCGGACGGGCCCAGCGTGACGGCGAGCGCGGGGTGACGAGGAGAGGACGAACCGGGGAGGCCTCGTTGCCGCCTGGAGTGTGACGTTCAATAGACACGCGTGGGGACTGGCGCGTGGGGCGCAGCGGGGCCTCCCCAGGAGCTGCGGAAAGCTCGACGTGGCCTCCCGAGGTAGGAGATAAGCATCGAGAAGTTATCTGGCTTGCCGCGAAATCAAGAAAGAAACTGAGATCTTCAGTGGGTTTAGAGCATAAAGCCATAGGCACCCTTAAAAGTTGAGGTGATGGGCAAGTCGGACATGTAAAGGGTTGGTTTCCAGAAAGGACACTGTTTTATTCTCTGCATTTTCTTGGGGAAAAAAAAAAGACTGTGTTTTTATGGGTTTTCAAAAATGCAGCATTTGACTTGAGTATATTCTTCTGCCTCACACTTGGTGCAGAGAATGAGAAAAGACTCTTGAAATACTTTTCCGCTTCAGTATAAGAAAGAACATAGAGCATCATCTGGAATTAAAAAAAAATGAAAGAAAGAGAAAAGGTTTAATAATGGTCACAAGTTAGCTCTCTGCACTTCTCTGTTGAGAGCACTGATTTGTTGGCTTTTATTCTTTCATTTCAGGCAGTTTGGAACAAGCAGATTGTCACACCAACAGATTCCATCTAGCTGAAACAATGTTTGCAGACTTGGACTATGATATTGAAGAAGATAAACTGTGAGTATTTCACTTGTCTTCTACTGTTTTTTTTTTTTTTGACCTAATGGGAAGAGATATATTTAGTCTTTCCTGACAGTTCCTGACTGTGTGCTAAAGAATCAGGCTGTGGCCCTGATTCCTTGCTCTCTGAAGACTGGGGATGTGGGATTGCTGTGCTGGTGAGCAGTGGGGGATGCTTTCTGTTGCTCTACAGTGACTGCTGTGAGTTTCTGATCACAAAACAGTGCTGACAAATCTTCAGTGAACTAGTGACCTTACAGAAGAAATGACTTACAATGGAGAAATGGAAATAAGAAGCAGGAAGACATGGAGAAAAGCTTGGGAATACCTATATCTATAAGGAGAATAATGCTAGATTTTTCTTAGCAGGTAGAAGCAGGTAGCAGGGAATTCGGTATGGAGCAGCTGTCTCACATTTCATTTGTTGACGTTTTCCTCTCACTCTAGCACAACAACCAGATAAAGTACTCTCTAAAACTGGTGAGCATTTCCTCTCTCTCTAGCAGTGGGTGAAGATGTCTCCTCTCATATGTAATAGCAATAAAGACAGCATTCAAAGATTTTTCTGCTGATCTGTACTGACAGACTGAATAGCAGAAATAAAGTGATTAATTCAAATGTCCAATACCCACCATGTTTTCAGTTTGTATTGACTTAGATACCATGATTATTTCATACAAATATAGCTGTGCTTGCAGTGACAGCAATTCATTCTCTCCCGCTTTCTCTCTCATTCTAGTGGGATACCCACTGTTCCTGGGACAGTAACCTTGAGGAAGGACTCTCAGAATCTGATTGGGATCAGCATTGGGGGAGGAGCACAGTACTGCCCCTGTCTCTACATTGTCCAGGTGGGTGCTCAGGGAAGAGTAATAAACCATCTTGGTAAAAATGTTGGCCTGAAAGATGGAGCATGTGGAGAATCCTATGATTTGTGTTTCTATCAAAGTGTGAGCCATCTCACTTCTCACAGAATCACAGAATGGTTGAGGTTAGAAGGGACCTCCAGAAATCATCTAATCCAACCCCCCTGCTCAAGCAGGGACACCTAGAGCCTGTGGCATAGAGCCACTGCCCTAGTAGCTAGCAGGCATGGAAAAATAAATTAGGACTTACGAAATTATCCTCCTTTGAGAGCATTCAGAGGAATAGTGAGGCACCCTCTATTTCAAGAAATTCAGCATTTGAGGGCCTGTCATGGAGACTGCAAGCTCCTGAGAGAAGATGATCAGCCCATCTCTGAGTTAGAGGGGGAAAAAACAAAGACTTCACCACGAACAAAATACAAATAAATACAACTGAGTTAAATGGGAAGAATATAAACATCTCTTCTGCTCTCCTCCCTGTTTCTTCCTTCAGCCTTCTATTCACTTTTCCTCATAATTCCAGACTACCTGTGCTTTTTCTGCTCTCTGCTAGGTATTTGATAACACTCCAGCAGCCTTAGATGGAACAGTGGCAGCAGGTGATGAGATCACGGGAGTGAATGGGAAGTCTGTCAAAGGGAAGACCAAGGTGGAGGTGGCCAAGATGATACAGATGGTAAAGGTGAGAGCTAGGAGGGGGCCAGTGCAGCTGCTTTCTCATGGTTTACGGGTTGTTGTCCTTCAGGAAAGGAGGCTGTTGCTGCTTGCTTCCTGTACAACAGTTTGGGATTTGCTCTTCCTACAGGGAGAAGTGACGATTCATTACAACAAGCTCCAGGCTGATCCAAAGCAGGGCAAGTCCTTGGATATTGGTAAGACTTGTTGGTTTCTTTCTCCTTAGAGGGTTAAAGTGAAAAGGTTGTGTTTTGTACAACCACTGATTTTTATTGGCCAGAGGGGAGTGTTTATTTTTAGAATAAAGGGTGTGCTTTGAACTAAGCTTGTGCAGCATCCTGTTTCGTGTGATCTGCCTTCCCCACCTTCCTAAAATATCTATCCCTTTCACTATCATTCCTTTTCAGTGAGGAAGGTGCTGATGAACTGAAAGGGGTTCAGAGAATTGCTGAGGCCTGGCATGGATTTCTGGGGAAACAGAAGTGCAATGAGAATATGGATGATTTTCCAGAGGTGCTAAATATTGGTGGCTTCAGCTGACATTCCTGGGAGCTGAAGGCACTTGATACCCCTGGAAGTACACCTCTAAATGCATATGGTTTAGTCTTCTGAATCCAGAAGGACAACATTTTCTTTAGTAATTTGTAGAGTATGACTACCAAGGACAGAAGTGAATTCTTAGGTGTGGCAAAAGGGTTTAACAATGAACAATAAAATAAAATAAAGTAAAGGCATAACTGTGCCTTTTAAATTCTGTTTGCCTTGCATTCAGCCTGGTCTCCTGACTTGAGATGAAGTAGTACAGAATGTATCAGAAGCAAAATTTAGTTCCAGGTATATATAGATAGATAGATAGATAGATAGCTTATAATGAAGAGAGTTAGTGGGATACTCTTGCAAAGAAAGTGGCAAGGTCATGCTGATTGAAGCAGGTAGGATGTGAGAGCAGACCAGACAGAACAGAAGATGTTCTATGCACAGCTGTGCTTAAAGTCTAGTTTCTCTGGTACCTTTTTTTTTCCTGCTCACCGCCTCAATATTGATTTAAGCTGAAGCTAACCAGCCCATTTGATGCCTAAGAAACTGGCGAAGTAAGTTCATGATAGAACATAACCCTGATCCTGGATCTTTCTTTTGGCTTTTAGTCTTGAAGAAAGTGAAGCACCGATTGGTAGAGAACATGAGCTCAGGGACAGCAGATGCCCTGGGGTTAAGCCGAGCCATACTTTGCAACGGTAAGTAGTGTGCAGAAAGATATTTTTAGGGAAACACTTATCGTCTTACACTTCCTAACTTTTTACAGTTTCTTACATATTCCACATAATTCTTTTAAGATTCTTCTTTTACAATACTTACCTGTTGCAATTGTCTCTTCCTGAGGGATATATCATGTCGTTGGGGCCATTTAAATATTAGCCAAGGTCAGGTTAATTTCAAGTGGGGACTTGCTTAGGGAATGTTTGTAGCTGGTGGCCCCACACTGTGAAAGAACTTTGCAATTATTTTAATCGTTTCCCATGTTGGACCAGAGGAGAGGCATTGGAGGTAAGGGAAAAAATGAACCAAATATATGAAATCTGGGTTTTCATGGTCAGTCAGGTCTAGATTTGAATATTTTAATTCTGTTTCCTTTCAGATGGTTTGGTAAAGAGATTGGAAGAGTTGGAAAGGACTGCAGAGTTGTACAAAGGTAAACTATCTTCTTCCAGACATCAAATAGAAGGGCAAGATGCATCTGTTATGGTTCAGTGAAATGACTTGGATTTTTTCTTTCTGACTTCCATCACAGGCTTGACAGAACACACCAAGAGTCTTCTTAGAGCTTTCTTTGAACTGTCCCAGACACATAGAGGTAAAGAGTCTGAGCGAAGGGAGCAGAAATCTTTGACCTCTGGTTTCAGGAGTTTTAGTCACTACTTAGATATGTGATTTCCTCAGCAGAACACAAGTAAATATTGCAGGAATAAGCTGGGAAAGACTGCCTTCCTGGCACAGGTGGCCACTGTCTTTCATATCTGATATTGAAGAAATGCCCTGCCAACCTCTTGTCTTTAGGGAATATGTAGCAGCATCCCCCTGGCCAAGTGCAAGGTTATCGGAAGGAGTTTTAATGTTGGAAGCGAGATTCCTCTCCAGGGCCAAACGCTTCTTCCGTCTGTTTGTATTTATTGCCCTCATCCAGCCTTTGGAGATGTTTTCTCTGTCATTGGTGTACGGGAGCCGCAACCAGCTGCTAGTGAAGCCTTTGTGAAATTTGCTGATGCCCATCGCAACATTGAGAAGTTTGGGATTCGCCTTCTGAAAACAATTAAACCGGTAAAGAATTTAAACCTAGGAGAAGGGGTCTGGAAAATAAGGGAATCTAGAGAAAATTGAAGGTGTAGTCTTAAAACTCATTGGAGAAAAAAAACTATCTTTGCTTTTCTTCTAGTTCTTCATAAAGAACATTAGAGTTTAAATAGCAAGTATCTCAGTATGCTGTGTTATATGAGCCTGGTATATAGACTTGTCCTTCTGACTGTTGCACATGAATTATGTTCCTATTGTTTTCTTTGGAGGCTGAGGGTACCTTGATTAACGTAGCCCTTAGTCTTTTCCCTGACATTGGTACCCATTTTTAAAAGATATCATTAATTTCGAAGAGTTTTCATAAACAGTTGAAGATTAAAGGATTTCAGTGAGTATGCTTGAGTAAGAGTCTCTAGGAGATCTCTCTATTTGGTTTAGCAAAGAGAACGTTAAATGTTAATTTGAACAGCATGCTAAGTGCCATGTTGGGTGTTGCACCTTTGAATCTAGGGAGAACAATTTCTAGCACTATCTGGAAATGAAACCAGATGAGTTGAGAGGAGACAGATTCAGATTCAGTGAGGTGTGTATTTCCAGCACTGGAAGGACCACTTGCTAGTCATTGTAATGCATACTCTAACCATGACAATTTTGACTGCAGATCAAACATTTTCTTTCAAATATGCTCTAGCTCAGAAGAGAGTTAACTTGAGGCAGTCTCATGACCTGTGCTGGTTAGAAGGCTGGATTTAATAGATTTTACTCATGCTTTTTGATCTAAAAGTCAGAAACGGAATACTTCCCTTACAGATGCTGACTGATTTGAACACCTACCTAAATAAAGCTATTCCTGACACGAGATTGACTATCAAAAAGTACCTGGATGTCAAGTTTGAATATTTGGTGAGCTACTCGATGTGTTTTTGGTTTTTGTTTGTTTGTTGTTGCGCTGGTTGGAATTAAGTTTTGTGGAATCATACCCTGAGGATCTCACATAATCTAAATGAATCACATGTCCTTCCTTCCATAATCTATTCCAGAATACATTTTTTTTCCAGTTCTTAGTTTGTTGCCAGATTATCCACATTTAAATACATCCTTTTAACCTAACAATTGTCACTAGTAAGAGACTGTTTCCCATAACACAGATGACTTTTTCTATCTGAGTCAATTAATTTCTTTAATTGTAAGGAGTTCCCATATAACTTACTCTCTTGGACTCCTCTAAATAGCTTTACAGCATCAGACTCCATATTTTAGGTAGTTTTGGACAGTCTTTGTTTAGCTTATCTTTAATATTTCTTCTTTCTTTTTAATCCCGATAAGTCTTATTGCCTGAAAGTCAAGGAGATGGATGATGAAGAATACAGCTCCATTGTGAGTACCGGTGCTGTGGCAGTGAGAGAACTGCAGACTGGCTTTCTGTAGCTGTGTGCAAATGTCCCTGCAGTTGCAAAATCCCTCTGGTGCCTGTGTGCAGTCAAACTAGTGAATACATCCTAAGAATAATTCACATTTATTCTTGACATATTAGAACCTGGAGGTGCATAACACGACATAGAAATAACTGTCTTGAATCATTGGTGCTGTGGAATAGTGGAGCGACCAGTCACCTCCTCTGTAGACTGTTTGCTCACTGGTTGCATGTCTCAGTGTTTAGGTAATATTAGCTGGTGTAAGGAGGATTAAGGTGTTATCTTCACAGATTCCCTCTGTGTGTAATGTACAGCTTATCATTAATTCTGGACTTGCTTCTGAGAATGGAAGTTCAGCTTCTCTGCACTAAGGCGAATGTCAAAGCTGTGTTTGTAGATAAAGAAAATGGATTAGAGGATCTCTCCTAACAGTAACTTAGTTCTAGAAATAAGTTATTTAACCTCAGAAGACTAAAAAGAAGAAGAAAAAGGTGATGTCCTTCTCCAGTAATGCTTAGCTGTTTGAATCTTCGAAGAGTTTTATACCTTTAATCCCGAAGAGCTCTGTTTATGCCCAATTTACGGTTATGTCTAATTTCCCTGCATAAAAGCAAAAACGTTTTTATCCTAAGTGGTGATCTCAGAGTAGGGATTTGAATTTTGGTATTCCCAGTAACCAGTGCTAGGAAAGAATAAAACCTTCCTAAGACAATTCTGAATCTCTCAGTGCTAGAGGGAAAGGAAAGCATCACAGTCTTGCCCAACAAAGTCAGAGCTCTGGGTTTTGACACATGCAATTTCCATTACTGAGACATAATCATAGTGTGTTTTTTTTTGTGTGTGTGTGTGTGTGTATGTTGTGTTTGCGGGTGCAAGAGAAGAATGCTATGTTTTGCCAATAGATTAACCCCTTTCTCTGGAAACAATTTTGTGGGGCAATCCACAGTTCTGTCCTTACAGATTTCTACTGTTGTGCCTGGATGATTGTAGGTATCACAACATTTACTATGTAAACTTACAGTACATAGTGCAATCAGTCTAGGGTGAAACTTGCAGGGGAAGCCAAGAGTTTTTCCTCTGATTGATATAAGTCCATAAATCCATCAGATCTTGGGCTTGTTTGCTCTTGATGCCTGTATTAATAGCTCAGCTAAGAGGCTGTATCAATCCTCCGTGCTGGGTTGAAAGATGTCTGGTGTCTTGACTTTGTGGTGGCACCTTTCTTTACCCTTGCTGGAGTGCGTTTGTCATTAAACGGCTACACTGCCAGTTTGTTGGTGAGCTGTAGCATTTCCAGTGTTTCCTAGGTCCTGAGCCCAATTTTGGGGGACCTAGGAGGGTCATAATAACACAAGGTGCTCATGAGTTGACAATGTTAGGGAAACAGTTTGCAAAAACTGTTCAGCATTGTGTGCTTTGAGTCTCCAAAACAGCCGTGTGTTTTGACAGGCCTTGGGTGAGCCCCTCTACAGGGTGAGCACTGGGAATTACGAATACCGCCTTATCCTGCGGTGCCGCCAGGAGGCCCGCACGCGCTTCGCCAAGATGAGGAAGGATGTGCTAGAGAAAATTGAACTCCTGGACCAGAAACATGGTGAGTACAACCACTGTGTCCAGCGCGCGAAGGGATCAGGCAGGCTGGACTTCTGCCCTCATACTCATTCATCTCATCTAAGAAATTTTGGCTGAAGAGCCCTTCTACCCTTGGGAGCCAAATAGGACTGGTACATAGGAATCTATAATGCTGGCAAGAGTGATTTGGCACAGTCTTCACCCTGCTTGGGAAGAGGATCTTCACCTAATTTGTTCCCAATATGTCTCCACTACAGTGCAGGACATCGTGTTTCAGCTCCAACGTTTTGTTTCCACCATGTCCAAGTACTATGATGACTGCTATGTCGTGCTCCGAGATGCGGATGTCTTTCCTATTGAGGTGGACCTTGCCCGCACTACCCTCAACTATGGGCAGAAGGACGTGTACACAGATGGGACAGAAGAAGAGGAGGAAGGAGGAGGTGGCAGTGAAGCAGACAGTAGCAGGAAAGAGGACACAAATGGTGAAAAGCTGATAGATGATGCCTGAATGTGCCAGTATGACTAGAGGACAACTCTTTGCAGACTGATATAAAAAACATGTATTTCACATGGCGAAACTCATCCTCCATGACTTTCTGTGTATATCCAGCCTGGGATTCCTCCGTTGCTTTGGGTGGGGTAGCTGGTTGGATTGGGACCAGCCTTTGCTTTCCCCTCTCTTGCCTTGCCTGTTTGCCTGGATGTTTCTTTTTCTCCTGCCACAGACTTCTGTTGCCCAACTTGGATGCTGAGGTGTGGGGAGGAGATTCTCCTACCCCATCGCCATGTGACTCCATGTGCAGATAGGACACTGCTGAGTGTGTGAGATGCACCACTCCCCTTTGGCAAGTGGAAGCCAATTAAAGAAAACTGGAGAGAGATGGCTACAAATGGCAAAGACAGCCCCCTCCTGTCCTCCCCTTATGCTATAGGAAAGTGTTAGCACCAGCATTGTTTTCTTCTCCACATTGCTGACTGCCCTGGAGATTCCCATTCTTTGGCCTGTATTCATTTTCCTCAGTCTTGTCCATCTGTCCCCATGGCATCCAGGGCAGATTCTTGTAGGATGATACTCCCACCACTCTCAGCTCTCTGAACAGCTGTTTATAAAGGAGCAAGTCCAAACTGCTAGCTAGAACTAGTTGTTGCACACATGATAGAATCTTCCTCTTCCTCCAAGATCCTGGGGGAACTAGTCAAAGTAGAGGTCAGTGGAAGTGGCTACCTGGCTTGCTGGGCTGCTGCAGTCCTTCCCTGTCCAGCTATTTCCCTGGCTACCTTCCTCTTCATAGTCGCTGAGCTGCCTTGCTGCATTGTCTGCACACTGCATAGGTAACCCCCAGAGCTAGAGTCCTCTGAGCTGTCTGTGGCTATGTCCTCCCCTATGGAAAGGAGGGAACTGGCTTGGGAAGCAGCCCTCCCAGTCAGCTGAGACACTCGGGCAAATGTGGTTTTTCAGAAACCCATTTCCCTCAGATGTGCGCAACAGCAGTGTGTGCTTCCTTTCCATTATTCTTTGCTCTCACTGTTACTTGCAGTGAACAGTGGCAAGATGTGCTGCAGTCAGTCTTGCATGCCCTTCTCCTGGGGCAAGTGCCAAGAAGGACAGCCTTCGAACCACAACGGAGATATTTTAGCCTTAAACTAGACAGGAGAGACGGAAGCCTTGTGAGCAGAGAAGACCGTTGCCTGTGAGCACTTAGAGATTTTCGGTTCAGAGGGTTGAGCAGGATACTGCTCTATGCTCTTCTCTGCACAAATATTTTGCGCTGCCTTTGGGCCAGACCAGAACCAGTAACCAATGTCCCATTGCCCAGCACAAAGGAAAGAGGGAAAGGAAAAAGAAGGTAAGTGAAGCTTTGTCTTTTCTCCTTCCTTTTAATCTGTTCCCTCCATCTCTGTGGGCTGATCCCAAATCCAGATGGCAGCTTTCTCTTTTAGCAGGCAATACCAGTGTCAGCACTGGTGTGGTTCTCTGAGGCAAGGGTTTTGACTTCTCTGTCATTACATTCTAGTGGTAGTGAGAGAAGCTATTTAAGGGCATTAATTTATGATTGAGATGTTTGTTTTGTTTTTGATTTGTTTCTGGAGCCTTGCCACCTCTCTGGGTGCCTGGAAGAAAGTCACCCATGGTCTAGCTGCTCTGGAAGACTTTAAATAGACTTTAATGTACTGAGTATTGTCTCTAATAAAGAAAAAATGTGTCATTTTGTTTCCTGTTCCTCTAAGAGTTTTCTTTAATGATTTGATTGCTCTGTATCCATTGGTTTTAAGATTAAAATATAATGGGGGGAAGGGGATCATTTTTTTTCATGATCATAGTCATGGTTTTCTCTCCACACCACATGGTGGTCACTGCCTCACAGGTTTCCACAGGGGCAGGATTATAAATGCTGTAGCAAGGCCCTCTATCCACCGAATACCAGCTTCTCTGCTCTGCCTCTTAGTCTCCCACTAGAACACCACCAGCCTTGAAAACCAGGTTTCCTTACGCTGCTCCAGGACCAGCTTCTGCACAGAGCTCAGCTGTTGCATCACAAGCTTGAGCTGATATTTAAGTCCCTAATCCGCTTTCAGAGCTGTTTGTCGTACCAAAATACAGAGGAGTTGAGAGGAACAGAGAAAATGCCTCAGTGGACCCTCCTTGAAAGCCACCAAAGCAATGCAGAAGGCAATGGAGATTGACAAAAAAAAAAAAATCTAGACTGGCAGAAGTTGACAACCAGCAGCCTTAGCACCCTACCAGGAGTTATACTGCAGGAGAACAGCCCTAGTTTCTGCTATAACTTCACCCTGCAGCTGTCTTCCTTGCTCATGGGTATGCTCATACCTCTTTGATAAAAGACCCCAGACAGAGACAGGTACTCTAAGGTTCAGAAACATCTGACTGAGGGGATGTAGGGCTGGGGTGAGCCCTGCATCCTGGGGCTGCAGGAGGTGGTCTGGTTTTACCAGGAAAACTCCTCCTCCTGAAGTGGTAGCCTTCATCCTAACCAGGGCTCTTCCCTGAGCAAGGACGGGAAGGAAGAGGACTGATACCTCTTCCACTACATAGTCTGTAGCGAGCTTTTGTAATAGCTTTTATGTATTTTTCTGAGACAAGTTAAAGGAATGGGAGACTTAGTGGGAAATGCTGTGTGTGTGCTGGCAAGGAAACAGAGGGGCTGTTTTTCTAGTTACCTGCTTGTCACTAACAAGGTCAGTTGTGTTCAACCTGTGGCCTTGGACCTCTGGGAAGCTGTAGGCTGCTTCTTGAAGATGAACTTCTTAGGTAACTAAGGAAAAGCTGGCTTGGGAGGACAGCAGTGTTCACTTTAATTGGAAAGGAGCTGCACTCCTGCTTGGTTGAAGGGAACACGAATAGTGATCTTTCCTTTTTCTTTTTGCAGAGACGGGGAGCGGGATCACACATAAAGACTACAGGATTCCGTGACCATGCCTGCTGCTTCTCATTTTCCCAGAGCTTCACAGCTGGGATCTGCTGTGATGCCTAGTCTGATTTGGGAGGTTTATTTTAAATGGCTTTGAATAGGAATTTAAACTGAGTCGAAAGTGTGACAGACTCATAATCTCATAATTAGAGCTAAGAAGGGTGTTGATAGCCATGATGGGACCAGGTCTAGCCCCATGAGCTTTACTGTCTCCCTGCTCAGTTCCCATGTCTGTTCTAAAACTTTCTTACATCAGCTTCATTTTGCTCATCATTTAGAGCTGTTTGAGAGCATCTGGACTGAAGCTCTTTCCTTCATGTCTCCACACCCTCAAGTGAGTTAAAATAATTTTATAGGGCCTGCAAATGTCATCTATTACCTGATAATTTGTAACCAGGCCAGTATGGCACTCCGTGTTGGGTGGTTTCATGAGCTGCCTTCATTGTACTGCTCTGTTGAGTTTCTGATCCCTCGACAGG